ATCTACCATTTTTTTCATTCTTAGATACCATTTGTTCTATAATACTATCGAGTCTAGCGAATTGAAGAACTTGGTAAAAAGTTGATTTTCCTACAGCGACTTTAACATATTTTTCAAATGATTCTCGTGCTCTTCCTGGCTACAAAAATATACCAGAATATAGTAAGTAAAAACTATGAATTTTTATTTTTCAATTTTCCAAAAACAACTTGAACACCATATCCATTATATACATCAATGCAGCTGGAGCACTAGTCCGTCCAAAAGGCATCACAAGTAACTCCTAATGTATGTACCGAGTTCTAGGGGCGGACATCGAATTATTTGTAGTTGATGCACATTCTTAGGGACCTATTCTCTCTCTCTCTCTCTTTTTTTTAATCAATATTGATACACCCCATGGTGAAACTCTCGGTATGATAAAACCCTTATCCAGTAGGTCTCACCGTTATTCATTTAGCTCTCTCAACTATGTTGGTTCCATATAATATGGTTTGCGTGTTAGGTGTCAACTCAATACCGAAGTCTAATTCTCATATTGAAGGTAGTCCTAGTAAATCCTTAGGAGTACATTAGAGAATCTCTCATTATGATTTTTTTTCCTCAAACTAAGTGTTTCTTCTCTTGTGCCCCTTATCGTATCTATGAGACCTAAACAATTTCTTTTATAACTATTAAGCCTTAAAAATATATACTTTGCTTATCTCTAAAACCTATAATCCCTTTTTCTAGACAAAACTGACTTTTAAAGTTAAAAAAAACTTAATAGTCTTTTGTATAATAATCTAGGATAGCTTGGTAAGAAGATAATTAATCCATACCCCTCAGTAAGTTAGAGTCAACCATATTAAGTACAACTTGGTTAGCTAGGTTTTTTTTTTCCGCTTAACTTGAATCTTAAAAGCTTTAAACGAATGTCTAACTACTATAGATTTTTCAAAAAAAAATGGTATCCCCAAAAAGGATCGCTTAATATCTCAAAATATCCCTGATTTTTAAATCTTCGACCCATATTAAAATCCATACTGAAATATTTCCTAATCTCGACCCTCTTACAAGCACGCCTACCATATCCATATTTTCCAATCTTTCTGCTAAGTGTAACTGCCACAGAATAGATCAAAGTTTTCGTATGTGTAGTTACTACCTTATTAAAATGGTTGACCAATATTTTGGCAAGCCTCTAAACTTAATATATTGCTTATCTATACAGTTGAGAAATTCAGGTGCTATATATCGTTACACCCATCGTCTAAACTAATTTCTTAACCATCTTGCAGGCAAGTTCATATTAGAAACTTGTCAAGAAGGAAGTGATTCATAAACAATTTAGTGAAATCATTCACAAATTATTTGTGTTGCTCTTGTTGGAATCCCTAAGAATACGGTATCAATTTATGCATGCGACATATTCTCCGGTCTATAAGTTGCTTGTTCCATAGACCACTCCATGTGATATCCTATAGCTCGTAATGTGGTAAATATTTTATCAAAAACCCTTAAGGATCATATGAACTATCAGAAACCATACACTTGGTAGTTTCAACTTCGGGAACTTTATTAAGGATACTTTTATGTTCCCTACAATCTTCTACGTGCATGATGACTCTAGAGCACTATTATGTTGCTCATTCTTCTCATATCTATCTATCATATCCATAAAGATCTTAATTTTTTTTCCATGGAGTTAAGTACCTTTTTGTGATGGCAATCCTCTATTGCTATAGTGGTGGACTAGTATAAATTTCTAAAATGCACTCTATTATGCATCTTACCGGAAAACACCTCATATGGCATAATGAACCTTTCACTAGTCTTGTATACTACTTATGTAGCATTTATTTGCTTGGAGATAGCTGCATGTCCATTGGCGAAATTTGACGTCTTTGAAGTTTGAACCTCTAGCCAAATTCTATTATAGAGTAATTGGTCCGAGCCATACAAAAATAGGATAAGTAATGATAGATTCAGTTATTTGGTCCTAATCGCCACACACGTACGGAGGAATAAGAAAAAAAGACAAGACACATCCTATCACGCCCTCGCAGAATCACGATTATGGAAATGGCCGGCTACATAACCATAATTGAGATTCTACTACTGACGTGTGCTCCATTAGTCACAAGAATAAACCTGGCTCTGATACCAACTTTGTCACGACCAATTTAGGATCATGACTAGCGCTTAGGAGCAAGTGCCCCCAAGTAAGCCTCATCGGTATTTTACAGAAAATCGGACAGAGTTTTCCCATTTTAGGACTATCCAAAAGTTTTCCTGTCTCCTAAACAAATAACAACCAACCAATATTCACCTAAATCAGTCACAATCCTCATCAACTAACCAAAAATGAGTTTTCACTAAGATTACAAAACTTATCAACATAATAATACTAATCCCATCTCAAAAATATGAAAACAAATGCAATATTAGGAACTAATCCAATATAACGAATGAATAACCATAACACTAATAAAAATGACTATGGAGCGACTCTAAGAGTTCAAAAGCAAAGACGATGACAAATAAATAGACTCTTCGTGTAACACCCCGCAAATTCGGCTTAGGTATGAATGAGTTAAAGGGGTAGTAAGGATTTATTTTGAGCATGTGAAGTCCTATCGAGATGATTATGGGTGAAAATAGTTGTTTCAAAATCAAGATGGAAAGTGAGGTGCATAAGATTTGACAAAATCGACTAAGTTTGCAGAAGGTCTGTATTCCATCAGTGTTTAGTGAAACTGTGTAAGGAATTTGAGGAATCTTAAAGGATGAAAGTTGTAGGCCTTTGAACTAATTTTTCCAACGATATATTATGGAGCTCGAATGGATCTCTGTGTAAAAAGTTATGTGCGTTTTACGGAATAGTACCTGGTAGCGCGCCTGCACTAATTTTGAGGCAGTGTTACTGCCATTTAGCGCGTTCACTAGCGCGAGCAAACCTCCAGGTGCGCGAGCGCGCTAGTGGGGGGTCGTTTTAAAGCTATATTTCGTCCCCCACAGCCCCAAAACATAAAAACTTGCTTTAGAAAGGGAAACTCTCAAAAACCTAACTCCTTAAGGGTCCTTCCACCATCCAAGGTAAGTTATAATGGTGATTCTAAGTTAATTTCAATTTTCCAACATCTTATTAATATGGGTAAACCCTCCATATTATTAGATATTCGTTTGGGACATCATTGTTGAGAGGAGAAACCCTAGAACTCGAATTCAAGGAGATTGAACGTCAAAAAGGTAATGTCTTCACCCTCTAATTGATTCTAGCATTGGTTTAATGATTATAAACCCTAGTTCATGAGATATGAGTTGATGGGTTTGGTAGAAAAGCATGAATGGTGATAGGTTTGGGTTATTGATTGGTTATTATTGGTTATGGGTGTTGATTACCTTATGGGTGATAAAGAATAATGTTGTTTATAACCATTTGAGACTTTAGAATTTATTTAGGAGCAAGAGAATGGGTTATTGGGTGTAGAGACACCATTAATAAAGGCTATGAAACTTTATGCCACCAAGTGTTTGATAAAATACCTATGTGACCAAAACATGACTATTGTTGCTAATTTGGGATCCCTTTGACTTGTATTGATATATGTTAAAGTTGAAAGGGTTGGCGAATGTTGTATTACGCTCAAGAGCAGGAAGTTAAGGTATGTGAGGCTAACTCTCTATGTTTGGGAATGTTAATGATTCTCCCTAAACTACGTTTCTTTTACCACGTTATCAATTGCCTCAGAAATATAGTTAAGCCTAGTTCCTTGAATAGTTGTAGAACTTCTATTCTCTAGGTTCATAACTCGTTCATGACTTTCATTCTGAACGTTGTGAGCTCAATTCGTATTCAATATAGACTTGGGTTTGATGTCCCTGAGTCTCAGTATAGCTTACTCAGCATGTCATAAACAGTCGAAGTTTCAGTGTTCATAATCAGTTCAAGGATACATGTCTCATTCTAGTCCTATTCAGTATTCCAGTATTATGTAACTCAGTATGATTCAGTATTCCAGTATTATAAACTCAGTATGATTCAGTATTCCAGTATTATATACTCAGTGTGATCCAGTATTCGGATATCACGTAACTCAGTATGGTTCAATATTTCAGCATCATGTATTTCAGTATGATTCTCAGTTCCTGATTTTAAATTCCTAAATGTTGAACACCTGTATTTGGGCCTGAGGCCGTAGTTAATATGCTTTATGCATACTTGGGCCTGAGGCCGTAGTTTATGCTTTATGCATGTTTGGGCCTGAGGCCGTAGTTATGTATACGTATACTTGGGCCTGAGGCCGTAGCTTGTGCACATATATATTGGGCCCGAGGCCGTAGCTTATTCAGATAAACAGGTTGTTCATCATTCAGAAGAGGGAGTATTCATATCCATACTTCCTTTATTCAGTTCAGTTATCAGTTATCAGTTATCTTTTCAGTTATCAGTTATCAGTTATCAGTTCAGTTGCCAGTTATCAGCTTAGTTTTAGTTTCCGCATTCATAATTCTTTCTTTCAGTTGCTTTACATACCGGTACAATTCAAATGTACTGACATCCTTTTTGCTCGGGGCCTGCATCTCACGATGCAGGTAATGATTTACAGGTTGAAGATTCAGAGCGCTAGGATTTTCGTACCAGCTGTTTGGTGATCCCCAGTTCTTTCGGGGCATTATCATTACTTTACAGTCTTTCAGTATTTACAGACAGTCAGTGTTTTCAGTACTTCATTAGAGGCTTCATAGACTAGAGTAACAGTTAGACAAAGTCACAAAATTTTCATATTAAGTCATGTTGGCTACAAATATATTTCAGAATTGTATTAGTATTTCCGCACTTTGATTTATATCATCCAGACTTTCAGTATATCAGCATGTGTTAGTTTATCTTCCGCATTCAGTATGTTATGATACCAAATGTTGATCAGCAAGCCAGTTGGTTCGCCCGATCACATGTAGTCAGGCACCGAGTGCCGTGTTACGTCCAGGCCCAGGTTCGGGGCGTGACACTTCGCCCACGCGAACAAGTGCGGGGCTCACCAGGAACTATTAACTCGTATACTCCAATTAACGAAATCCTCACTCACGTCAACTGCTGTCTCTGTAAAAAAATAGCGGGGAATGAGTCGCTAGTTTAGTGAGTAATAACACTTAACCACAACCTTTTTTTTTCATAGGGACAAGTCAGAAAACATGCTCGTACAATAATTAAAAAATATCATGAAATAAATGCCCTTTTTCAGAATCGGTAACAACAATCAATCTTGTCTGTTTTCATGTAAGCAGGAATCAATTAACAATTCAGTAATAAACTCTGTAAACATTGTCATATCAATATGTTTGGGAGGGTTCCAAGAAAGGATCATGTAATCTGTATCACTGTCTGGACCCCTTCGTAAAAGGAGTCAAATATAACTGTAGGTCCCTACTCGAGGGAAAACTGTAACTGTATGCTAGTTCTACCTTCCCACTAGCGAGGGCTATAACTGTATTCGGTAATCGGTAAATACAAGGTGCACCAGGTCTAACGAACCCGCCGTTAGCTACGGGATCCTTCAAAGTCTCCTCCCGTTCATACTTTTCTTTGTAAACAGTAAATCTTCACATGGAAGCATTTTCAAAACAGTACAGGGCATTTCAATTATCAAATCATATAATCCAATTTCGGTATGGTAATCATATCTTTAGTAATAGTAAAACATGTCTAGTAACAGTGAGAACATTTTAAATAACTGTAAACGTCTCAAGTAAATTATTTAGTACCATATCAAGTAAAAGACTTGTCCCACATGCAATTTCAAATATTCGGTAACATATTTTATTTTCAAAATAATGTATAAACCATGCAGGTTATGAAAACACAAATTGCGGTAAGATTACTACTCACAGTGCTCGTGCAAAATACCAAACTCGTCACCTCGAGCAATCCGTATGGGTTCCTTCAATCAATCTATGATCACATCATATTAATGTCGTGTTAGTTTCCTTGTTCGGGCTAATTCATAACTAAATTTGAATATCCACCCCTCGGGATCACACGTTTAGTTCTCAATTCGTCAAATTTGTCTGCCTGTACTACAGTTAACTTAAGTGAGTCCATAATCTTCTAAAAAAAGGTCATTCATATAGTCTATTTATTGTACTATTTGGTCTCCTTAAATCATATGAATACTACAAACATCGGATAATATTATTGTCCATGATCTTCCTTCTTAATTGATATTTAAATCCTTTTTTTTGTACTCAATGAAAGCATACACTATGGAAAATATCTCAAGCAAATTCCTAAAAAAAGAAAAAAGGAGAAATTGATTATTTTGTTCTAAGTCGTCGAGTAATTTCACTAAGAGCAACTACAAACTTCACCGGACCTGGTGCCCAAAGCTTTAGTGATCAAAGCTTTTTATTTTCTCAAATTTTTCTTTCACGTTGGTGAAGCTTTAGGCTTCTTTTGTTTCTCCAATCCAACCTTTTCTTTCTTTAGGGATGTTAGTCATCTTCTAATTCTATAGAAGTTTAAATGTGGCGCTTCTCCCTTTTTCAATTCCCTTAACTTTATCCTAGCATTTTCTCTACTCAATCCCGCAAGGAATCATGAACAAAAATAATATTGTATCAAAAGAAAAAAGAATTACATGAAATTACCTGGAGTTTATTGTGGAAGCTCAAAAATTTGTGCCGATGACGAAGTGAAACACGGTATCGGCGCTAAGAAACACTAGAAACGTTTTCTTTCTTTTCTCGTTTGATGTGGTTGGCTAAAGGGATTTTTTGTTTTCAAACCCTTTTCTAGCTTCGTCAATTTGAAGCAGATGGGCTAAGGCCCACTTAAATTGTCTTCCTTCTTTATTTTAGAGAAAATCTCACTTTATATCCATTAATTCCAAACTATTTACCCTTTAATGCCCAGGTCCAAACTATTTACTACTCCTACCCATGCGGCCCAAATTATTTACCCGCTAATTCCAGCGATGCTTTATGCAACCAAGAACTGAGGGAGACTTGTATTGAAGGCCACATATGTTCCCCCATTAACGCACTGTCTCGTTTCCTTTTGCTTTTCTATCAGCCTTTTTGTTTCCTCCAAATCCACAAAGCTATACTATTGATTTGATATACTCGAAATTAAATCGGAAAATAATCAAATTTCATAAAAGAAGAGAACATTCTATTAGAATTTTCATATCAGGATTGTTTGATTCAGTCTTAAAGCATAATGTCCTGCTCATCATCGTCGTCGGCCTCAGAGGATGAATATGAGGGATTCGATTCTTACCGGAAAGGAGGATACCATGCAGTGAGAGTTGGCGATTCATTCTCTGGTGGCCGATATATCGCTCAGCGAAAACTCGGCTGGGGAGAGTTCTCCACTGTTTGGCTCGCTTTTGGAGATTTATTGTACAAAAATTTAAATCCACCATTGAAGGACCTTGAAGCTTGAAACTCATAACTTGGTTTGTTTGAGTTTTTAATTATTTTGTTCTGATCCTGTATGGATTTGTTTGGAAAGTTGATTGGAGGTTGTAGCTAAAGTTTTAGTCAATTTGGTGGAGATTTTGTAGTAGATTTTAGAAATTTGGGTTGAAATATAGTTGAACCAGAGAAGAAGACGAATTTGTATTGTATACCCAAATAGCATACAAATATACCATTTTAGTATACAATTCATTCCAACTATATACCCTATTAGTATAGCTATATACTATATTGGTATCATATGCTAGTTGAATCATTTTTTGGTTGTATTAGCTACATTTAATTGGTACAATATTTGATTTTTTTAATAATAGTAATATAGTATAATATCTTGAAATACCTTATTATATTAATATGTGGTACACTATTTTTTTATTTTTCTCTTTATGCATGTGTGTTATGTAATAGTAGTATAGTCATATGGTTGCCGGGAATTAACTAGTAAAACTGTATACCGTGTTGGTATAGTTATATGCCATATTGGTATCATATGGTAGTTGAACATCGTTTTGGTTGTTTTAGCTGCATCATAAGTGAATTCTATTATGAAATGATTTATATGAACATGAGTTGCAATGCTGGAATTTTGTGTGCCGATGGACATAAATTATGTGTATTATGTAATAGTTTTTATAGTTATAGGCAACTTGTATTGAACGACCCCATACAACTATATACCTTCTTAGTATACAAAATGAGCAAGTTGTTTTGTGAATATTTAGCTTGCAATACGAGCATATAATTTTCTCATACTTTTATTGCGTCCTTTAATGTTTTGGTACAATAGTATAGTCGCAGATAGTTGTAGCAATATTCTAGAGAAATCATATGCTCTGTTGGTATACATATATACCATATTGGTATCACATGGTACTAGAAGTCTTTTTTGCTACTTATACTTTTGTTGTATTTTTCAATATTTTATTGTCATTTTTATTCTAACTAGTATATATGGAGATTTGGTTGCCGTAGATTATGTTTTCTTGCTCTATAACTGGTTGTATTACTGCTAATGGTAGAGTGTGTACTGATATTTATAGAGAAGGAGATCAAGGTTTGCATGGCAATCACGTGTTGATTCTTAGAATCTGATTATGTAATTTATGGTGCTCAGCAACAATCAATGTGATATTCAGTGAATTAGATCAAGTGACAACTAATATTAGTTTAGTTTAATAATTGAATTTAATAAATGAGAAAGAAAAAAACAAAAAGTATATTGTACTAGTTATATTAAAAAAAGGTGAACAAATATTTACTATATCAGTTATTTTTTCTTATTGTATAAAAAAAGAATAATAAAAAATAGTAAAACAGTAAATGAAATTAGATTATGAAGAGAAAAAGAATAAAAAAAAAGTTAAATGAAATTAGAAAAGGAAAAAATAAAAGAATAAGAAGAAAACGAGAAAAAAGAAAAGGAGAAAAGAAAAAAAAAGAAAAAAAAAGAAAAAAAAGAAGAAAAGAAGCATAGAAATAAAAAAAGAATTAGAGAATAAAAAAAAAATTCCCCACAAAAACTATTATGGGTAGGAAATGTAATTAGTTTATGGGTAGAAGATGGGTAGACAAGGGTAAATAGTTTTGTTTTTATGGGTAACTGTGTCAAAACCCCATATTATTGTTGTTTTCTTTTTCTTTTTTTTTGTTTGTTTGTTTTGTGTTATTTTTTTGTATATTTTTTTTTTGAAGATTATTTAACTATCCATTATTTAGTAGCAGATATTACAGGCAGATTGCTGAATTGATGGAGTTTAGAGCTCAATTTTACTAAGGCACGTTTGAATAAATAAAACTTTAAGCTTGAGCTATTCTGTTGTTGACTCGATATGGAATTTGTCCCTTTCTGAACAAGTTTTTCAGACTTTTTTCATCAACTTTAGAGAAAGACAGCTTGAAAATATGCCAACATAAGTTCACATACGAATGTTATGCAACTTACACTTTCCAGTAGCAGCCACTGACGTGGAAACAGGGTCAACGACATTTTGAAAAGTGATATATACAAGCAACGTAACCTTGGCTTAAAGGAATAGGAATACATGGATAAATCTTGAAATTATTAGTCGGTCTTCTTGATCATCTAAGTTTTCTATACGGTGTTTGTGATTGATGCCCTTTTTATTATCTCTACCCTATACCAATATTGTGCTGTGATAACTAACTCAGACAAAAAAAAATATGGCATTCAAATTCCCTATTACTAATTCACCTGTAAATGCCTCATAAGACAACCCTTTTTCTACCCAAAAAATGAACCTTTTAATGTTTACTACAGTACATAACATCACCTCTGTGTTCACCACTTGAATAAAATGTTCAATCTGCAAACTACAGGTCAAGAAAACAAAAGGCGAGACGTTTTTTGGCATACTAGTATCTCTTTATGATCACACCGGATGAGTAAAACTTATCCCGTTCTATTTCAATATTCTACAAACTTATAAATGTTTCAGTAAATTAAAGAAGTTCAAAAATAAAAATATTCAAACACTTCCAAAAATAAACACTAATTTTCCCAGTCAACCCCTTCTCCTTTATGACCTCATCTTTATGCGTCTTTTTCTCAAGAGAAAAGTAGTGTTAACACTTCCATTTGTTTAAAGGACTTTTGGTCAGGAAAGTTAACCGGAGCGAACAACTGAACATAGTGGGATGACATTGATCAAATTAGACTAAAATAGGCATCGATTGTGTTGCTTACCATCTGCTAGTTCTCTAATCACTGAATTTCATCATATAAAAATCACGTCTACCCTAATGTTGCATTCTGAGTTTTCTTTTGTAGATAGATATGCGTGCCTATTTCGTAAATGAAATCATGAAATCTTATGTGTGCTTGATTCACTCTTAACACCTCAAGACTTCTTGAGCCTTGATTCATGAATTAAAAGGTAAGCCTCTTTTTATGTGGTGATCTTTCATTTGCTTTTGTAGTTATACTGCCAATAGTTGGCCTTTTAATGTTACTTTCACTGAAGATTTCTGTACTCTGATTTCTCTGCTAATTTATTTTTTCTACTATTCGAAGGTGTCCAAAGCGCGAGGAGCTAAAACTTCCTCTTGAAGGAGCGGCTTTCTGGTTTGTAGCTATGATCATTCTATTATGAATTAGCTATGACCATTCTCTTACTAAACTATCTTCTCCATCTTTTTTGTATAATATAGTTAAATGTGTGAGGCTGTGAGCAATCTGTATTTATATGTATATTTTAGGTTCTTTGCCTATTCAACTAAAACTACGGATAGAAAACATTGAGTCGCAACATAAACGCACACACTTCCACATGAGAAACTGAATTAATCAGATTCCAACAAAATTGGAGCTGTTAAGCTAGTAAATTAAGAAAGAATAGCAAAATTACTAAATAACCCGTGATTTTAACTTAGAAGCAATATTAGTTCTTTTGCCAGATTCAGAGCCAGAGTTAAAGGTAATTATGCAACATGAAAATTTAACATTAGGGTTTCGAACTCTGAATCTCACAGCTTTTGTTGAATAAAGGGGAAAGTCAAACTGAAAATATGTTGTTACAAAATCGTAATACTTCTGGTTAATGAGAAAAAAAAAACAAGCTGAATGGACAGATCCATAACATCACAGAAGATAGAACTTGAGGTGCAAGCTTGAAATGGTTGTACATAAATTTTTTAAATCAAGCACAACTTTGATATTATTTCATATGTTAGTGTCTCAGGAAATGTAGGATCAATTTTTCCTCTACTTGTCCAGTATGAAGCCCTGCAACCAACCTAGTCACTTGGTTCTAGTGTATTCAGAATGCTTTCTTCAAGATAGTTGTCAGTGCTTGATGCAAGGATTGCATCTGTTAAGCAATCACACAATTGGAAAGGCCTTTTTCCATAAACGTATAAACTCTATGATCCCACTCTAGATATAACACACTGTAGATTTTTTAGGTTGAGATACCACTAGTACAATTGTGCTTTTAACTTCAATCATATTTGCAACACCTGATATTTAAGAGAAAGTTATGATTTTGATGAGCGAAAGCAGAAGGCAACAAACTTCTATAAGATTGTAAATGTAATCCTACCATGTTTGCAGTTTACAGAGTAGAACAATAAATACCGAGCTGGTACATTAAGCTCCCATTATGTGTAGGACCAGGGGCAGAGCTGAACCACAGTTGGTCTATTGTGTAAAGTTTAACTATCTTGGATTTCTAAAGGAATTTTTTCCACACCTTAAACTGGTAATATCTTGGCCTTAAAAATTTCCCTATCAAATGAAATGAATAAAACAACAGCAAATCATGAAAATAAAGTTTCTCACAGAGAAACGAAGTGAAAGGCGGTCTTAGAGAAACATCTATAGATCTGCAATAACGGTATTACTACCAGAATATAATAGCAAATGGTTGGTGACAAATGATCACTTTTTCTACGTGTTTGTGAGTTCCTGATTATAGAACTTCACATCTGTGGTATACCTTTTTATAGCAGATCAACTGAAGTCAATTAACATGTAGAACATTAGAAAGAATGGACTTTTTCCGTAAAATCGTATATCTACTGAACGAAATACACCTGAACAGAAGAAAGAAGTAACGGAAATTCCAGTACAAAGAACAAGAAAAAGAAAGAATAAGTAGGACAAAAGAGACGAAGAGACAAAATACCACGGACAAAAGAGACGGAGCTTGAGTTAAAGCAGGACAAAAGAAACTAACACAGGCAATTAGGAAAATCTGCAGTAAAGCTATTACTGTCAAATACGAAAGAGTATTGTTGGATAGGAGATAGGCTCTTCCAGACTGAAGAATAGACTTATCATCCTGATTCAACTATGTAATACGAAATACACTCATCAAGTGGAAAAGATTTTTGTTTCCCTTTGATGATGGTGTCAGAAAATTGGTTCTCAACATTGCAGCACATAACACATTGCTCAGGGAAAGATCAATATTCATTTTTTTTGATAAGGAGAAAAGATCAATGTTCATAGGAGGATGTCAACCTATTTTCAGAAAACAGTTATCGGCAAACTAAAATTGATTCATTTCGAGTAAAGAAATGAAATGTCAGAAAGAGTGCAAGCAAGATACTCACTGTCACCATATGTAGCAGTAGAAGCACATGTTGACTTACTTGGTCTAGGCCATGACCTTTTTCTTAATAAAGGCTACGTCGACAACCTGCATATTGTGGACATAACGTCAATAAAGGACATTAACGCTTTATTGGGCAGGCTATTGGACAAGTATAAGAAAGTTTTGCAACCACCATGGTAGTATTGATCAGTTTTACATGAAAGTGATATCAAGGAGTTTGGATAGTGCTAATAATCTTGATCTTGTTCTAGATTTCTTTCTGTTAGAAAATCTGAACTACAAAGAGAAGTACAACTTTTTATTAGCAGTTGAAGATTTGGAGCTACAAAACCACCGAAGAAATAACTTGAGCTGAGCGGGGAAAATGTTCAGTTGTTAAGCATATTGTCAAGCCATTTAGCTGCATCTAAGTTCTCCTTTGTTTCAACAAAATATCATTAGGTACTTTATTCTTTATAGCTACCAAAATATGAATGCAACAGATAACTCGTACAATGACAGCAAATACACATATTGTAGGATAAAATGTAAGTAAAGAGCAACTAATACATTAATTTTGACAATCACCTAATATTTATAACTTAAAGATTGCCAATCAACTATAAGACAATGATATTATTTTATGAAATTTATACACTAAATACAGATCTGTGCTTTTTTCCTTAGCCAAGTCTATTGAAAGGATTAAATTATTTTCATTAATAAATTATAGTAAGAGTAATAAAACTTAAGTGATTCTTACCGAATCCAGTGAGTGTACATCAACCTAAATCACTTTGGAAAGTTGACAATGACCTGAACTTATTTATAGCTTAAAGATCATTAAATTGTAAGACAATAACGTTATTTTGTGAAATTTATATGCTAAATATAGACCGGTGCTCTTTTATTGCAGCCAGAAACATAACACGAAAAACTTTTTGGCAGTCGGATGTTGAGAATAAAATAGAAAACAGGAATGGAAAATAGTATCACTAGTCAGTTTTACAATTCTAACTATCAAATCCAGCTATGAATCTACAGTTATCGCTTCATATTACAATTCATTTTGCTAATATGAACTATTTCTATAAAGGACAATATAATTATCATTAGGCACTTTATTCTTTTTGGTTACCAGAACAAAAATACAGCTGAACACTAATACAGCGACATCAAACACAGTAGCATAATTTCCAACATTGATTACTGGTTAATAATTATTTTTTACTATAAAATTGCAAGTAAAGAACAAGCAATGCATTAACATTGACAATCACCTAAACTTATTTATAGCTTAAAGATCATGAACCTATAATCCTAGTGAGGAAAAAGCGGTCTTCAGTTGAGAATTTAACGTATTTGCATTCATAACTCTCATAATTGTCGTTGCTCTAGCAAGCCCTCAGCCACTCGCCTTATCAGTCCCTAATTGCAACATGGAAAACCTAAGCTAATTGGTCCCCTTGAGGAACATATTGTACATACGTAATTTTGGACTATTTGCTAGAAACAAATAAGTTTAATCAAAATTATCCCTTCAGTAAATCATTATGAACTCCAACTATTAACCTTTTAAAAATAATTAAACTTTTAATACAAGCCTTTTGAAAATTATGCAGTAGAAAGATCAGTAAAAATAGCACGGTCTATCCAGCTTTCGGACTGGTCATTCAAAAATAGCCAGCGTTTCCAAGTCAATAAAAAATAGCCACTATTTTGCTACAACAGAGACCGGTCCAACATAATATACTAGAGTTTGGTGCACCAGTGTTTGAACTTCCAGCATATTATGCTGGAACTCCAACACACGGAAAGTTCCAACATAATATACTGGAGATTCGAGCACTTGTGTATGAACTTCCAGCATATTATACCGGACCGATATACTTTGCTGGAACTCCAGTATATTATGCTGGAGTTCTAGCGTACTTATGCTGGAACTCCATCATATTATGCTGGAGTTCCAGCATACTTATCCTGGAACTCCAGTATAATATGCTGGAGTTCAAGTGCATAATATACTGGTGCATTTCCGAGTTTTGAACAATGTTTTCGCTCAGATTTATCTTTACATGAAAAATGGCTAAATTTTGAAACTGGGCTATTTTTGAACGACCACTTGTAAATCTGGCTATTTTTGAATTTCTTCCGAAAGATCAGCATCAATAGTAATGACACGATCCTGTTTCGTAACTTAATCAACTGAGTTTTCACTGGTCCGACTAATTCTCATTAAGATTTTTTCTACACTGCTTCCTCCGGCTTGGCACAGCCTCACTATTCATTTTCCCAGCTGCTCAACTCCTCTTCCAATTTCCTTTGTCTCTCTTCCTGCACAGTTTATTCGCATTCGTTGTACAGTTATAAGGTAAGTTTTGCTTTCTTATTTTCTGATTTTTGGAATAGCTGTTCCTTAGAAATTATTTAAATTGGGTAAAACTATCAAAGCATTACACACCAATTTTAAGTGGGAACTCAAACTGTTGTTTTAATTACTCTTCTAATGATCCTATTTGTTCGACGAAAGCTAATTCTTGATTTTTATTTGCTTTTGTATTTGAAATCTGGTCCTTTATGGTGGACTGTCATTTTAAAATCTGAACCCTTTCATTTCTCGTGGGGGAAATTTGATCTGGAGTTCCGTTTTATCTTTTGGAATTTTGACCCCCCATCAGACTTGCATACCACGTGCCCCAAGAATGCCACTAAACTGAGCCAAAAACTCATACTTGGAGAACTTAGTATAAAGCTTCTCCTCCCTCAACCGCTACAATACAACTCTCAAATGCTCGGCGTGCTCCTCCTGGCATCGAGAGTACACCAGAATATCATCAATGAATACAATAACAGACAAGTCGAGATAAGGCCGAAACACGCTGTTCATCATATGCATGAACGTTGCTGGGGCATTGGTCAGCCCAAAAGACATCACAAGGAACTCATAATGACCATATTGGGTCCTAAAAGCTGCCTCAAGAATGTCCGAGTCCCTAATATTCAACTGGTGATACCCTGACCGGATATCAATCTTGGAGAACACCCTCGCTCCCTGAAGCTGGTCAAATAAATCATCAATACGAGGCAAAGGATACTTGTTCTTGATTGTGACTTTGTTCAACTGCCTGTAATCAATGCACATCCTCATAGTGTCATCCTTCTTCTTTTCAAATAGAACAGGCGCATCCCAAGGTGACACACTAGGCCGAATAAACCCCTTATCAAGGAGTTCCTGAAGTTGCTCCTTCAATTCCTTTAACTCCGCCGGTGCCATACGATACGGCGGAAAAAAATGGGCTGAGTGCCCAGCAGCAAATCAATACCGAAGTCAATATCCCTATCCGGTGGCATGCCCGACAGGTCTGCAAGAAACACATCTGGAAAATCCCTCACCACCAGAACTGAATCAATAGTAGGAGTCTCTGTACTGACATCCCTCACAAAGGCCAAATAAAAAAGACAATCCTTCCCAACCATCGCTGGGCCTTCAAAAATGAAATCACTCTACTGGGAACATAATTCGACGAACCTCGCCACTCAATCCGTTGCACCCCCATCACAACCAATGTCACCGTCTCAGCGTGACAGTCCAGAATAGCATGACACGGAGACAACCAATACATGCCCAATATCACATCAAAATCAACCATACTAAGATGTAGTATGCCCGATGCCTGAAGACTTCAAAAAATACCCGAACATGCATACAAGAGAAATTCGTTACAAAGTGCTAAATCATATTAGTGGTATTCTTCATTCAATGGGTCGTGATATCAACGAATTTGAACTAACTCAAGGCAAAATTCAGCCATCTACAACAGCCAAAGAAGCTAAAGATGTACATTTTGAAAGGAATATTATCGTTAATGAACAAGATTTACTATTACCATATAAACTAAACATTGAACAAAAAAGAGCTTACAATATAATCCTTGATACAATATTCTCAAATAAACCCGGAGCATTCTTCATTGATGGTCCGGGCGGAACTGGAAAATATTTTTTATATCGTGCCTTATTAGCTACAGTGAGACACAGAGGATTTATAGCATTAGCGGCTGCGAGTTCGGGTGTTGCTGCTTCACTTCTTTCTGGAGGCCGAACTGCTCATTCCCAATTTAAAATACCTATTGATGTAGATGGAAATTTTAGTTGCAATATTAGCAAACAAAGTTCACTGGCATCGTTGATTCGAGATGCAAAACTAATAGTATGGGACGAAATCTCAATGGCGAAAAAAGAAATGATTGAAGCACTAGATTTGCTCCTTAGAGATTTAATGGAAACAACTATGTATCGAACCCGCACCGCACACTCCAGCTCCGCTTCTGCTCATCAATGATTAAGAGGTATCTTCCCTTTCTGAATAAAGCTTTTTTTAGTCTAGCAGCTAATTCACTATCGTCTTCTTCACTACGATAAGTACACTCATCATTAGCGTCACTCAAGATGGAAAGTAGCAAGTATCTACGTGTGAATACCTGAGAAACACGACACTCTCCGCGAAAACTGAAATGGGAGACAATTGCTTTATCATCTTTAAAACTTTGGGCTAAGGTCGTCTTACCAATTCCAGGCATACCAATAATCGGGATAACATCTAGATTTCGTGATCCTCCAAGTCGTCGACCTTTTATGGTTTCCCTCATGACCTCCTCAAAACCCACCAACTGATCTTCGCCGGCGGCAGGGGAAGCAGTTTTCTCCTCCTTCTTTTCCTCAAGTTCTGTCAGCTCTGTCTTAATAAGCTTAATCTCCTTAATGATGTCAGAGAGCCACATTTTTTACAAAAGAACCAATTATGTACTCAACCTCATATGCCTTATTAATGAGTCTTGCAGTAAAACCTTGAAGTTCCTCTCGCTTATCAATTCCTATGCCCTCGAGGGAAGTTTTGAGAGATTCAAGCTCCTCATACACCACTTCAAGCTGGTACTTCAAAGAAGCAAGTGAATCGTAGTGGCTGTAGAGAAGCTCCTTCAAGCTGTCAATGAGGAAATCAAAAAAGCCCAATGTTTCATTCATAGGCAAAAGGGATTGCACCTCCTCTCGGATGTCACGGTAAATTTCGTTAATGAACAAGATTTACTATTACCATATAATTAAACTAAACATTGAACAAAAAAAAACTTACAATATAATCCTTGATACAATATTCTCAAATAAACCCGGAGCATTCTTCATTGATGGTCCGGGCGGAACTGGAAAAAGTTTTTTATATCGTGCCTTATTAGCTACAGTGAGACACAGAGGATTTATAGCACTAGCGGCTGCGAGTTCGGGTGTTGCTGCTTCACTTCTTTCTGGAGGCCGAACTGCTCATTCCCAATTTAAAATACATTAGAGAAGACATCATCGTAGAGTTCTTTTTATCCAGAGAATAAAGTTGGGGTTTGGTGAATATTGATAAAGAATGTAAATTGCAGGAAAGTTGGATGAAAGGCAGACTCTAGAAAAAGCTTGTTGGATTTTTTGAAGAAGTTGGGGACCTTCCATTCTATGCGAGGCAGAGGTTGCCACTGTAGTTTTTTGCATTAGGTATGTGGTCTCTTTTTGTCCAGTACAAGGTACTCTTTTTCGTGTTCCTGTAATCATTTTTCCTCATCTTATTTCTCATTCTTGAGGAAGCATATTTTTAAGATAAGAAGTTGAAACTTGGAGACATTCTAAAAGATGACATGATAACTTAATCTGAAGATAACTAATAAGATGGAAACCCAAAAAATAAAATATTGAAAATTCCATATAGATGTTGCTTCCCACTGCTTACTTTGCTTATTTGAATTTGTATCGCTGCCTTCTTTGTGAATTTTCTATTGTGTAGCCATTTTAGCATTTTCTGCAAGAACTTATGGAATTATTTAAGTTTTTTAACATTATCGAACTACCTGACCAGCTGTGAAATAATGACCTTAACTTTAGGAAAAGACCAAGTAAGATTTGTTGTTTGAGAAAAAAGACTAAGTAGTAGAATTGACAGCACTGACCAACGAATCAAAATGAGGGATATGTTAGAGATATAACATAACCCCTGCATAAATGATATTCATGTATTAATCAAGATACTAAGCACGCAACAAATTAAGTGCTATCTATTATACTTAAGGTAGGTATTGATATTCTAAGTAAGCTGATAAACAATTTAGGACCCCCAAAAAATTTATAAATCAACCATTGTGGGGGTGCTCAAATGTGGTTGATAGTGTCTTATAGCTCTTGGTGATTTACCTTTAGGACAAAATAAACATAAAATCTTAAAAAAGATTCAACGCGCAGGAAGTTGAGCGATGAATTGATTGTTGATTTGGTAGAATTATAGATGTTTGGTGCAATATATGAGTAGTAGAAAATAGTTGCATGTTGTGGCTTTGTCCATGTTGTTTCTTGAATATACTAATAAAATAAGAGAAACAAATGCTGCTGAATTATTTATTTGGTTTCTTTGAGTTGAAAATGAAAACGAGAAGTGGGTGAAGTAGTTTGGTTGGTATTAGTGTAACAGGTAAATTGAATATATAAAAAATGATTGCTTTTCCTTGATTGAAATGTCATTTGAGCAATTTTGAACAAACCAAGTGGGTAATCATTATTAGACCTCCGTTATACATCAGGTTATTCTTGTTAGAAGTGGAGTTCATGCTAAGCTAATAATTCAAGGTGTGTATTGTAGTATTAATTTTCATGGTTATTAGCTTCAGGCAAGCTGCAAAAGATTAATTAACAAGAATTCCAAGTGCAGTACTTAAGGAACTTCTATCATTTCCTCCCTACTTATGCCTCTATAAACTGGTATTTTCTTATATTAACTGTATGGTTTTATTCTTACTTGCTATTGCAGCAGAGCTATAGTGTGGTCAATCTATCACGTGTTACTTACCTATATTTAATATGAACATTTTTTTACTAAGAAATCAAATTTGGAATAAGCTAACATGTGTCTCTTTGGCAGGGACACAACAATGATGTTGAGATTGTATGGTCTCGTGGATGAAGTATTCACATTTTAAATGAGAAAGTATCATCGACTATATTATTATTTCTGTTGGAAGTTCAATTTGTGGAACAAAATATTTATGGGTGAATTGCGTTAGATGCAGAGAATTTGCATGAAGAGATTGTAACATAGAGCATGCTTGCCAATTATAGTTTTAACATAAAATTTCTTCAGGTGACAATACACAATAGTTTTATTGTAGACTACAAAAAAAAAAAAAATTACAGTACAGGGAACACATCTTATCTTGTCATTGTGTAGATTGTATATATGTAAAAAGATTACTCTGTGTCATTTTGCAAGCACACAACACCCGTTGAATCGATGTTTTGTTAAATTTTGTACAACTTGGATTACTTTTTTTGTTTCCTAAATGTATGTGCTATATAGTATGAAGCAATTGGTGTGCAATGTTATTTGTCACACCTCCTTTTTTACACACTTACCCTGAGGGATAAATGTATAAGGGAGTTTTTTCATTTAAAGTGACATTATTCGAAATGGGATTATTTATTTATTTAGAGTCGCCACTTGGGATAGGATTGTCTTTTGGTGTCCCAAGTCACCGGTTTAATTTGAATCCCAAATCGAGGAAAATTTTCGAATTCCCAATTGGAGTCTGCGAACCAGAAATTCTGAATAAGGAATTCTGTTGACCCGAGGGAAGGTGTTAGGCACCCTCGGATCCCGTGGTTCTAGCACGGTCGCTTAAACTATTATAAATGGCTAAAATCTGATTTTTTTATACATGTTATCCTATAGTGCAATTTTAAAATTATTTACCGCTTTTAATCAAATTTTTTAAGAAAGTGAACGTCGTTTAAAAACGTGTTTTTGGATCACGTCACATGAAATGCACCCGGATCCTCGACACATTTTTATTCAACGTTTTGGGATTTGGATTTGGGTTGCATGAAATGCACACCCGTATTTAGGAAGGTAACATTATTAAAAAGCGCGCCTAAAGCGACTAACGCGTTATTAACTTTGCGGGAGGCCATGAAAATTCGCTAAATGGCACGTCCCAAATTCTACGTATTTTAATATAAACATCCAAAGAGGGCCACGCAATTTATGAGTTTTATTTGGCGTGGCGCACCTCGTTTTATATTTAAAGGCCATCCTAAAAGGGACTATTATTTTATAGTAAGGATTGTCTCTAAAAGACCTAATTAATTAGCATTTGGGCCTCAAGTTCAAGTCCACACTTAAACAAGAGGGAGGCCCTTTAATTTAAGTGTGCCACTTAACTTGGAAGGCCCAAAATTGTGTTACATAATTAAATCCGTAACCTTAATAAGCATTCGAACCTTCAGCATTTTGGGCTTCAAAATTGGCCCAGGAAGAAGGAAAATACGCTTGCCCAGCTTTGGGCTTCTGATTATGTTATTAGGCCCAATTATCAGTTGAACGTGAAGGCCTTGTTGCCTTGGCTCACGATGAAGCCCATAAAATTAGTTTCTGAGCCCATCGACTATTTTGTAAAAATCAGTGTATCACTTATTCTAATCAAAGATTATTAGGCAAATATTCAAACCAGTGTAAGGCTGGTCATTAGCTAATTGTTAATCTGAAATCTATCAGTCAATTAACCTCGCAATTATACATCTCAAACAAATTCAACGATGATTTGGAAACTTTTAATAGGCAAAGATGAAATCCTGTGAGTTGTACTTTTGATAGGCATGCAGTAAATACACGAAAAATCCAGTCCTTTCTTCTTTAAGCTACAAGACAAATTTAGTCTAATATGAAAATGTAAGGCTGAAATTAAGTATACTAACTGCTACTTGAAACACATTTCTCTAATTCTAAAAGGTCTAATAATTCAATTATTCACAAATCACACTAAATAAGTATTTGTTCAAATGAATATCACAACTAAGTATTAAAGCTAATATAAGGACAAATTCATGTGAAAACTAGGCATTTCTTCATCATTTAATTCAAAAAGTTGTTTATACATATTGCTTCACACTTCCAGATCACCTGGGTCGAGGAAATGTACCTGGAATTGAAGTAAGATAAATGAGGAAGAAATCAGCAATAGCAAACAAAATCAGCAGTGAAATCAACAGCACAGGATCAGTTTTAAATCCAAACAGCCTCACAAAGCCCAGGAATGAATGAAGGAGTAACAACACCAACAGAATAACCAAAAATCAACTTGATTGAACCCAAACACACTAAAAAACAAACCCAGGAACACTTCTGGATTCAGGCAACCAATCACCAGGACTATTTCAACTATTTCTATCCTTATCTAAGCTGGAAACACGGATTAACAACCAGAACTTGAAATTAAACTCAGAAAATTTAATAGAAGAGCATTTTTTGAAGTTTTTTCTGCTATTTTTGGTTTTTTAGAAGGTTTCAGATCTAGGAGGGAATCTCATACTCTCAAATTTTAGCTTTTGTTTTTGAATTTGAAATTCAAAAAATTTTCAGATGTTCAAACTTGCAGAAAATATTTTGGGGGAATTTTAGGTGCTGGAACTTTTGGGAATTTTTCAGATGCTCCTAACTTGTTCAAGAAGGCAAGGGGGACTGCCTTTTATAGGCAGAAATGAAGGGGAAGCTTCCAATGAAGACAATTCAAATATCAAATGAAACGAAAAACAAAACTAGGAAACATACCAATTTTGAACTCGGACACAACTGCCTTTCCAATTTTGACCACGAGATGATATCAATCAACCATTCTTGTCAAGAACGGTCAAATAATATCAACTCATGGTGAAATTGTGCCCAAAACGGAGAAGAAAATAAACCCACTCAAGTTCCAGATTTTAAATCCTATATTCGAGAAGTTTGGGGGATATTTGAAGAGAGAGGGATGTATATTCATGATGTGTGGGTGGAGGTGAGTCTACAGTGTAAATTTGGGTAGGGATTGGGTGGTGGCGCCGCCGTGTATGGTGGTGGCGCCGCCTAGGGTTTCATAGATTCGGGGGTTTTGGTTGGGAGTTGAAAAAACTAGTTACGGATCCATGATGAGGAGAAGAAGGCGATACTATGGTGTAATTTTGGGGGTTGTTGGAGTTTCGCCGCCGACGGAGACGATTTTCGGCCGGCGGCCGGCGGCGGAGGGGCGGCGGGCGAACAGGGGTACGAGGAAGGAGGGATTTGTCTTTAGGGTTTTCTAAGTATTTAGACAGTTTTATTTCAAAATCAAGATCAACTCAGGGCCGTTGGATTAGGAAGGATGGATGGCCCAGATTAATTTGCCCTTTATTGATTCAAAACGACGCCGTTTTATTAATACGGGGTCCAGACCGGGTTTCTGAGGTGGGTTGGGCCAATTTTGGCCGGATCTTGGGGAATTTGGTTTGGGTTAGGAGGGATTTGTTTGGGCTGGCATTAGAATTGGCCCAAGTTACACAATACAGCCTTTTTAATCTTTTAAATTCTCAATTTCTTTATTTGTTTTTTCTTCTTTTCTTCCTTTTTCTTATTCAATTTTTTAGATTTTAAGAATAGACAAGACCTGATTTAACTCTAAAATTAAACTAATTAATTCTCAAAAATTAAACAAATCCTAGTTTAAAAGAAAACTTAAGGAAAAATCAAAAATTAAAAGTAAAACAATGCAAAAGGGCTATTTTGTTATTTTCTCTTATTTTTGTAATGTTAATTAACTAATGTCGTTGTTAAAATGAGGTTCTAAATGCAAGTATGCTATTTTTTGTATTTTTTTATGAGTTATATCAATTAAAAAAGCACAAAAATGCACACAATCACCAAATCATGCAATTAATTCCCTAAAATTCAAATAATAAAAGAAAAATCCTAATTTTAATGAATTCTATAGGAGTAATTTAAGCGAGGCAAAAATCACGTGCTCACATTATTTATATATGAATTGTTACTATGTACATCTTTCGGTCTCTTCTTTTGTTGTTCTGCAAATTTGTTTGCCCAGTATCAGTACAAAAGTTATCAAGATTAATTAACTTTATTATTTAAACAATCAAAATAAGAATAAGTATTCCAGCTACTACAATATTGGGCCCGCAACACGGGCCATAATCCATCTAGTTTATACATAAAAAGTAGGAAAAATATGCCACACAGCAAACGTATACACTGTATTTATCATTCATAGTTATACTTGAATATTATAATAAATTTACCTACAATATTGAAACAAGAGATCAATTGTTCTGAACTCAAAACAAGAGAGCAACAAGGCCTCGTAAATTGGAACCTCTAACTTTTACAATTCTACCTAAATCTTTTACCTTTAATATTTGCCTTTTCTATTTATCGATTGTTTAGAATATTCAAAGATTCAACTTTACGAATTAAACTCAAATATGAACATTGGAACACTGGATAGGGGCAAATATGCAATCTCCTGTCAGCAAGGAGTCATATTCTCCCCCACATGTGGTATTGTTGGTGACGATCTCGATGGTAAATATTTTGACAATCTGCTAATAGAATACTTCCAGAAAGATGATTCGTTTAGGAGGGTGCATCTAAATCTTGATATTTATAGACTTTTGTTGAGGGGTGTGAATTAGGGGGAGGGTAGGGGAAATATACTTGAACGAGCTTTATATATAAACCAACCACTCTCACAACAAATCAGGAGTAACGATATCTAACTATGAAAAAACAAAATCTTAGAGTCAAGTATACTAGCTTTGATGACAGTGTAGGTTATTTATCTGTTGTTTTAGGAAGTAGTTGTATCAGATTTGGTCTCAAAACTGCGCATTATGCTATTTAGGTACACCAAAAACAATGATTAAGGGGAATAAACATCACAAATATTCTTAATCAACTTCTAGCCGACTAAACAAATAGCAATTTTTAAATTTAATCAACTACAACAACAATAACATACCCGGTATATTTTCATAATGGGAGATATTGAAAGGATAGTGTGTGCAGACCTTACCCTTATCTTGTCGAGGTAGAGGTTGTTTCCGATAAACGCTCGGCTCAAAAAGAAAAAGGAGTGAGAAGCCATGTGAGAAAAATTAATCAACTAAATGAAAAATAAACATCTTTGGTAAATGCTGAGACTACTTTCAGAAAATAGAACAATTAAAGAGAACAGCTAAGCTATCATTTCAATGCAGTTAACACCAACTATTACCTACCATTACGGCAACCAAAATTCAAAAAGGAATATATACAATTAATATACTAATTCTCTTTTTAGAAAGGGAATTCTTAGATGGGATTAGCTCCAACCAGTAGCCCATTTGCTCCAATCTTGATGGGTACCTTGGCAACCTGCGATTGTTGGCTAGATAGGTTAAACAGTGAATTAGTCAAGATGCACGCAAAGTAGCCTTGCCACAATCGA